TGATGAGATTTTGAAAAGATTTTTGGCACATATGTAGAGTTAATATATCTCTATAAAGTTACCGGTCAGATTTTTTTAAAACCTCTTAGAAGAAAAGTTATAGCCATTTAAAAAATTGAAACACTTTGTGTAACTATTGAGTATAGGCTTTCAGCACCATATTAAAAATGGATTTTTAGATAATAATAGGAAAAAATGGAATATAGAATTATATTTTACAGCTGACTGGAAGTTTTTATCAATTTGTTTAGAGCACAAAGCAGCGAATAGTATGAAATTTTGTTTGTGGTGTCTAATTCACAAATTACAAAATGATGTACTTGAAGTTAATAGTATTCATCAATAGTAAAGATATTGATGATATTTGTCAAAACTATTTACAAAGATCTGGCCATCAACATGCACCATTTTTTCCAATGATACCTATTTGTAATTATGTCGTTGACAAACTTCATTTAATGTTATGTATTTGGAACCAATTATGAACTCTTGCAATAAGTGAATTATATGTACTACATGCAGATTTACTGAAAAAATCTGACAAGAAATTATTAATGAAATGAAGCATATTCAGGTACAGTTTCAATTTTGGGAAGATTAGAACACTAAAGCTTGGTTAAATACATCATTTATGGGAGATGACAAATTAAAAGTTTTGTATAACTTTAATTTGAATATCATGTTTGTTCCTCAAAGAGCTACCCTTATTAAAAGGCTATGAGATGGTTTTAACAAATTATATAAAGATATGCACAATCCTAATATAACTGGAACTATTTTTTATGAAAAAGCTCATAAATGGTTAGAACTTTTTTTAACATGATCACAAGGTAGTGTCAATTCGGTTGGATTTATATGTGAGCTTTATTAGTCAACAGATATTACTCTTTATATTTATGTTCTCGTGTACCATGTACCAGAGTTTATAGACAAGCATCATGATATTGGGTTTGCAGCTTTTTCCTGTAGCAGAGTAGAAAAAAAAAACATAATCATATTTTCTACTTTTTTCAAAAAACTATGAAAGGTGGAGGCAAAAAAGAAATACATAAACCAGCTATAGTAGAAATAATAGAACATGAAAATCGATGTGATTTTTTTTATGTTAATAACATAGCATCTTATTTTGAGAAAGGTACAACAATTAATATCAATACTGATAAATCGCATTAATAGGTATACAATTTTTAAATTTTTTTTATTTTTATTAATATACTCTACTAATAGTTTTATAAATTCATTCTTAGATAATAAAGTGAGGATTTTTTATTACAAATATACTATTGTATACAAGAATAAGATATATAACAAGCAGTTATTGATCAACTTTATAAGTGTGAAACTTCTTAATATATTAGCTTATATTACTTTAGCATTAGTATTTGAATTGTTTCAATATTAATGTTAATAAAGAGGTCTTTAAATTAGCACATAGAGAATACTATACAAAATAAGAATCAACTTTCTAATTGCAAAAAAAAAAAAAAATTATATATATAAAGTAAAACAAACATATATATATAGTCAAAGGTTGAAGCAAAATACTAAAAGGTTTGTTTCACAATCTACTAATATTTGCGTTTTGTATATTTTTATATTTACATAGAAACATTTATTTTACTAAAATATTATTAAACCTCAAAAAATAGAAGCACGATGATACAAGTTATTGTTAATACTTACACTTGGAAAATTTTATTTATAATTGAAATATATAGGTGTAAAGCATTTAAAATATACCTGCCATGATAGTGTCGTACATGCTAATTGTTATTATAAAAAAATCAGAACAAAATAAGTATGAGGTATCACTTATATATATAATCAAGTTATATTTATAGATTTAGAAAATATTTAACTTACTATTAATATTTGTGATTTTAATACAATCTGATAGCAATTCAGATATAAAAATAATTACAGGAAGTGAACCAAATATTAAAGAATTCAGTGCACATTTATTAGTTTTATACAGTATCTCTGCACTCTTTATTTTCAAAGAGCTCTATCAGAATGATAAAACAATGCTTATATTATTACAAAGCCAAATATTCACCCTAATATTTTTATGTAAGTCTTATAATTTGATCTATTTATTTATTTATTTAATTCTAAAATTACATGTTGATAAAGCATTTCTTTGCTAATAAGTTAGTTTATAATTTATTTAAGCTATATTTATACAGGAAAAGTATATTAGTGAAGATTCTTAAATATACTACATAGTCACTTACCATCAATTATTAATAAAGACGGTAATTATCATATAAGATCTGCTACGTAAAAAGAATAAGGTAAAGTATTTATTCATTATCATATTATCATATTATTGTATTATTGTATTAATATACTAAAAAGAACATTATCAGAAATCTACAGAGATAGTGCTACAGTGCATAACAATTTTGGAAGTAGTTATTTCAGATAGTGCTAGTAGAGATCTAACCAACCTTTTTTTATATGTACAATTTTTACGTTTTTCACCTATGTAATAAAGAGAATAATTATATTTAATACAACATGGTGAGTTTAGCATTAGGGTTATAATTCTGTTAAAGCAGTTGTTGGAGATTTAGATCGTGACGATAACAGAGAGATTTGAAAAATTTTAAGGTATAGGGTCTTTGAATTGAAAATGACCTTATAGTACATGATACTGTAAGGTCATTTTCAAAGCAAAGACCCCATATGTTAATTAATTTTTAATATGTCATTGAACAAACATTTTATATATTAGTCATGTTTTATAATATTATTTCTGTCTCAGAAATGATAATGATACTGCTACGATAAGCTAGATCAAAAGTTATCACTAGACCACCATATCTTTATATGACATTGGGTTCGTGTTTTATTAAGAATTATTTTGTAATGGCAAACACTTGTAAATATTAATTATAAAAAGGTATGCCATATTTCTAAATCAATTTCTGCTTTTTTAATCTCTTTGATACCATTATTAAAATATTAGAATTATAACGAATAGCCAACTATCAAAGTATTTGGATAAGAAATTGATTTTGGATTGGATAAGTTATTTAATGGAGCTGAAATTAATAATTCTAATGAAGTCTCATTAGCTCAGAAATTACCATATGGAATTTCGTTATGTTTTTGTGGGAATCAGTTTGTGTAAGTTTGGTGTTGTTATATCAGTTGCATGTATCATGAATATTGGTGTTTGAACATTTACAGTTGCTTATGTGGAAAATAGAAGATGAGATGCATATTCCAGATTCAAGGTATGATCAAATAATATATCAAAATGTCAATGGTTGAATATATACTCTATAATCATTTATAGATATGCCTGTGCTATAGCATTACTGTAAAGGATCGGAGTTGAAAAAGACAAACAAAGATGTTCAAATATTATCAAAAAATTTGGAAAAAATTATAGACCACTTAATGTCAAATATTATCAAGAAGGAAGTGGAATTGAAAAATCCATTGCTATAGGTAATGTTAGTGGAATATAAATAAGTCAAAAAAGATAAAGGTATAATTTGAATATTATCAAATTTATGAATTCTATGAATATGTATTATACTAGTCGAATGCTTGATGTATATATTAATTGTATTAAGAAATTGAATATACAGTATAGGTATTCAAATATTATTCAGTTCTACCAAAACAGATACGATGTAAAATGATGAATATAGTCAGTAGCCTGTATGAAATTTGTTGATTAAGGTATACTGTATAGCTGCGAAATAACGCCGCCTGTGTGTTATTTCGAATTAAGATTGAATCATATCCTTTAATTATAATAAGATTAAAAAACATTGTACCAGAACTAGGTAGGCACTAAGTTAACCTACTTGGTTCAATATAAAGAACAATTTTTGTTATGTTTGGAAGTAGGCTTACTTAGTACGAATCTAGTTCCGGAGCACTTTTGTTTTATGTAGGCCATATTGAGATGCATGTTAATTCAGAACATCCATGGGCACTAATTTGAGACCATATATGCTTTTTGATTTTTGAAATAATGCCTACAAGCGTTATTTTATTGCTATACAGTAACTGTGATCGCATTAGAGATTGTACCTGTCAAAAAAATCTCTACACAGGTATTATTAAATTATCTCAGTTATCTGGGTAATTATTATAGCCATATATTAAAATATCTACCTGGGTACAATCTCTAGATTGCATCACATTAGTTCTTGAAATTGTATCAATTTTAATTAACCTTAGAACGTTTTTTATTAAAAATTGAATGCTTTTTTTATTATTATTTACAGATTATTGAAACTTCCAATTTATAAGGTTTATTGTTGAAGATTTAGTAATGATGGTTATTTACAGTTTCAAAATTAAAATATGGGCTAGAAATGAATGATGTATTTATTTTTAAAAAAATAATGTATCAATTTTACATTATTTTTAATAAAGCTATAATTCTTTGAAATTTTTAATACTTTCAATTATCATATAAGTGTGAAATAATGCATATTATGTCAGTGATATTAAAGCAATCGTGCAAATCTGTATAATATGTGTAAACTTTGTTAAACTTATATTGTACCGATTTCATAATGAATAAGTAGGAATTTGCTATTTCTTGGTAGATTGGGTTAAATAATATATAGGTAATTTGCTATTGTATTTTTAATTTAAAACTTCTCAATATAAAACTTTAAAAGTTGAAATCATTTAAAAAAAGTTGCCAAATAATTTTTATTAAATCTATATTTTGCACTTTAAAGTTTAATAAAATTGTTCTACTAAAAATCGCATTGTAATCCATCCAGCCATTAATACATTTTCTTCATTATCGTTAATTTCTCTTTTTTCCCATATGATTATCATTTCTGGATTTTCTGGATTTACTCAAAGAGAACTTTGCAAAGGTTTGGTACACATCACAGGACTTGTAGAATTTGGTACAAGAATAACTTCTGACTATTGACCATGTTCAAAAATCTGTCTTCCCCAATTTGTTTCATTAAAAATATAACTTAAAGTATCATATGCGTCATACTCTCCAAAATAACACATATATTTTTGCTAGCAAAATGAATAGTGTTTGATATAGTTTTGAAATATACAAACAAATTCTGACTCAGTTAATGGTAAGGAAATAGTTTGAAGACCCAAATACTTGGAGTGTAATTTGAGACAAGATCGAATTAAATAAACCAAAGCCACTTTTATTTCATTAATGTGATCTTGAGGAAGTTTATTAAAATGTTTAGGTATATTGTAATTATCATGTTTAAGGGTTTTATGTCAGCTCCACTCACTTTTGCTTTTAAAGGAACTGTGTGGACAAAGAGGACAAGAAAATGAATTAGTTGTAGTTGATTGATGAACAACTCTTTGATGTATACGTAAGCCACGAAGATTTTTTAGTGTTTTATTAACACAAAGTAAACACGGAACACTATGTCATTTCTTTAAAATATAACACGTTAATAAAAAGAAACTGTTGTTTATAAACTTTTAAATAAATATATACTACTATTGTCAAACCTGTACAATCTACTTCTTAATTGCTTTTAATTACTTGTGATTGTTTAAAAGAAATGAGTTAAAAGGTTAGAAAATAGGTTAGACATAATAAGTTGATGCTACTAGTATAATTAAAAAATGTTTTGACATAAATTTTTATTAGATTTTAGGGGTTATCTTAATTTAGTAATTATATTTTATCTTATTTTTGGTAACCTAAAAAAAGGTCCAATTTCATAAATCTGCTGATATGATATGAGTAGCTTCACTATCAAGTTTTGGTATTGTATAGTACTGGACAGCATAAGACATCAACTTTATATATATAGAGTGCCAATTTTTGATGCTTATATAATCAATTCTGATTGGCTAATTTTGATGTACCCTCATTGTAATTGTATAATGTTATAGCTACTTAATAAAAAGTTCCCGGCCATAGAGGTCACCTTAATATCTAAAAAAAAAAAAAAAAAAAAAACAAACTTTGATAAAAGTATCTCGGCACCCACCTGACTAAATTTGACCAAAATTTTTTATTTTACTTGTAGAAAGCTGTAGAATTTAAAAAAAAAAAAGTTGATCGAATTTGATCAGATGGGTGCCGAGATATCTTTAATCAAAGAGTTTGTAAAATTTAAAACTTCTATCAAATATAAGCTGTGACAACATTTTTTTACAAACTTTGATTAAAGATATCTTAGCACCCACCTGACCAAATTCGATCAACTTTTTTTATTTTAATTGTAGAAAGCTGTAGAATTCGAAAAAAAAAGTTGATCGAATTTGGACAGGTGGGTGCCAAGATATCTTCGATCAAAGTTTAAAAAAAATTTAAAATAATTAAAATAATTTATAGGAGTATGGCATTATTAGAGATGGCATCGGCTTATAATAAGCCAGCTCAGCCATGGCTTTTGAGCTGAGCCATTAAGCTGGCTCAAGCTAACTTATGATAAAATCGAATTTATCACATGATTAATTTGAATTTATTATGTGACAAATTCGAATTTGTTATATATTACATGAGCCGGCTCGAGCCGGCTGACTTGGCTTTATGAGCCAAGCTGAGCTGGCTTAAGCCAATGCCATCCCTAGGCATTATCAAAAAAGGGTGTAGAAATATCAATTCCCTTAAAAAATTGATAATTTGTATCTCAGGTGATTATCACTTGTAGTTAATTTGCCAATTAAAATTCAGGATTTAGATGTAATATGTAAATTAATTTTATAAAAGAATTTTTTAAAAAATACTCATATCTCAAAATTTTGTCTATGAAACTATCTTTTATGCTCTAACAAAAAAAATTTCTTGCTAAATTTTACTATATAAAAAGCTTTACTCTAACCTCTAACTTCTAACCTCTACTCTTACTCTAATTTTAAAGATGTTTATTTTTTTTTTTAATTTGGCAGTCTTGCCTTAACTGTTTATTAGTATTGTGGTTACAAGTATACATATATATATTTACAATTATCTGATTATTACAAATAAAACTCACTCAATTACTAACTTAGCATCTATGTGTAATCTGCTATATGAGATTTTACCTCCTTAGTAACCGCCTCTTTTAACCAGACCAATTACTAAATTACTAGATAGTTCCCAAACCTTATCATATATACCTCGCTATATATACTACTGTACAATGTCTACCAGCCAACTTTTACTCTTCAGTACTTATCACATTACTCCTAATTCATTTTTTGTACTACTTCCAAATTGGTGTCTCTCGAGTGGGTACCCTTGATGCTTCCAGTTTGGTATTCTTGGGATGTTACTCTAAGGGCCTAGTTCGTATCTCAAGCCAGATACAGGACCTGCTGCTATAACATCATATACTACCAAATTAGGCTACTGATCCTTCTATAGTACTCCCTATTGGTATGGTAATACAGGGGTCTGGATTCTTAGGATGGAAGTTAAGTACCTCATTTAATTGGTGATCCACCAGTCAACCAGAGAATGATCATAGTAAAATGTGACTCAAATTATTTATAAAAATTGGAGG